GCTGAAAAATTGGTTTCATTTTTAGATTTTTTAAGTAGCTGTATAATCTTATTAGACAGCTGAAGTGTGTTCAACAGAAAAACTAACCTAGACCTTTAATTAGATCTTAGTAGGATTAGATATTAGTATAGTTCTCAGTTCTACCTGCAACAAATGAATACCATGCTGCTTTTAACTAAGATAGTCATAGCCAGAGGCAATTTGATTGCTCTTGTCAGTCTGCCCTTATCCCCAACCTATTTTCACTTTTTTGAACACCCTGATTGATTTTTTTCCCCATTAAGCACCAAGGGATGAACTTGGACCATAGGATGAGCACTGATTAGCATCTCAATGTCACTGTGACCTCCCAAAACACATTGTGACTGTAACTCAAGAATTAATGTGCTACTTATGACAAGATTTCATGAAAATATCTAACAGGATACAACAATGAAGTGAGGAGATTTTACAAGCAAAGGGTCAAAGGTCAACTTTCTGTGTTATTATAATGTCCCTACAAACACATGCATTATTCAGCTCCATAACTCAGGAACAGACTGGGACTATGCTTAACTTTGATTAGGTGTTTCGGTAATCTGTATTGTAATCTGTATAAAATCCCTGCAATTTTCACTACTGATTGATGGCCGAATGTTCATCCTGATTTTACAAAGTACAAAGTTGCAGTATTGATCTATCAGTGGATTTATTTGTTTATTATCTATAACTACATATATACAAGTGATGAGATCATAGTTTACGAACTGTGTAGGAACCTACTTTACAAATTAACAAATAGCTTACCTTATTTATTTTTTTTTTTTGGAATATTTTCCATTAAAATAAAGATTGCATTACAATTACAATTGCATTGTTGTATATTACTGATAATACACTGTTATGAATATGCCTGTGATAGCAGAGAACATCTGATAGATGTATATGAACCAAAATACCTCATCATTTGTTTTACCTTCTTAGTGTCATGTTGGACTCTCTTTTGTCTTCAGAGCTACCTAAATTCTTTGTGGCACAGATCCAACAAGGTGCCGGACACATTCCTCTGAGATTTTAGTCCATGTTGACATGTTAGCATCACACAGTTCCTGTAGATTTAATTCAGCTGCACATCCACGATGTGAATCTCCTGTTTCACACCATAAAAGTGCTTTACTGTTATAATAAATGGTCATTTACTTTACCATTGCCATCCTAACAGCTCAAAGCAGTCTAGCTATTCTCCTCTGAAGCAAACTTCCCAGAGAACTGCAGCTCACTAGGTATCTTCTCATTTTCACACCATTCTCTATAAAACCCAAGAGATATTTGCTGTAAAAATCCCAACAGATCAGCAGTTTATAAAATATTCAGAGCAGCAGGTTTGGCACCAACCAAGTCGCTTAAATCACCCTTATTCTCCAATCAGATGCTCATTTTGAACTTCAGCAGGTTGTCTTGACTACATGCACTGAGTTGCTGCCATGTGATTGGCTGATTACAGATTTGCATTTATGCAAAGTTAAGCAGGTGTACCTAATGAAGTGGTAGGTGAGTGTAGATGGCTGTAAAACGCAGCTAGGTGGAAAACTGCTAGCGTTCTCAATTAATCTATCAATTATTGTACATATTACTAGATTAAGCGAATCCAATGGGGAAAATGCTGAAAAGAAAGAGTCCTAAGATCCCAAAGTGAATGTTTGAGAGTTTCCAACAGTACAAAGCTTTAATATATTTAACTAAAAAACAAAAACAGCAGCTATTTAGATTTTAGTTTAACTTGTTTAAACTGGTAATGAAGAAATACTGGCTCTAAGTAGCCATTTATGTTGGTATGGGGCTTCTGGCAGCATTAGCTCCATATCACACAGTAAAAGTGACATGACTGTGCTTGTGTTTCTTATTATGTGACAGCTCAGAGTCAACAGCATAATAAAACAGCTTGTAACTGTACAGCTATGGCGCTTAGATTTGGCAGAAGGACAAACAAAAGCGCCCGAGCAATAAAACAACAAGTCCACTAGCTTGCTGCGAGCAGCCAGAGGCACACACTGCCCTCCTTTCATACTCCCAATCTGACAGATGATGCTGCCGCTACGCCACATGAAAAAAAAAAAAAGAATCTTTGCAAAACTGTAACCGTTTCCAAACATTTGTATCATCTCACTCACTTTCGTGTTTTGAAGTTCCCCATGTGTGCCGCGGAACTCCCGGGCTCTTGATAATCGCTCTGCCGGCAGATTTCAGGGCATCCATCACGAGGTGTGTCTGCTCACCGGCAGGTGGATTCCCCAGTCACCGGACCACAGGGAGGAAAAGACGGAACAGCCTGCGCTCGATGGCGGATACGCCGGAAAGGAAAAAGGCGAGGGAGATAGGACACAGATTCAAGTTCCAGCCCCGAGCCTCTCTTCCTCGTTCTCTCTCTCTCTGTCTTTACCTCTCTCTCTCTTTCCCAAGTGATAATGTGAGCGGCTGAGGGCACACACGAGTCCACTGCACCGTTTCCAAAGTTGAGGGCGTGTCCTTCTAACCTTCACGAGCTTCCTTCAGTGAGAGGGAGTGACCTTAATGAAAAAAGTCATTACAGTCTAATGTGTGTACCGAGGATTTAAACACACTAATGAGTTTATGCCTAATGAGCTTACAACTGCACTTTCTGTCTCATAGGATTTCTTGTGGGTTATTGATCAGTGGTGGTGGGCCCATTGTTACCATGGTTTCTTTTTTTTTCAGTTTTTTTAATTATCAAATAATGTCATTTTAGCCCTTTACCATGCTTAATATTTTAACCTTGACTAGAAACAACCCTACAGTTTTATTTAAGGGTGGAGATAAAATCATTAGCTACTGCTGACCATTTTCTGCCTTCTGTTTTTTTTAATGTTTTTTCCACATGTCCGTCTATGTTTCTTGTTAATAATAAACAAAGTAACAAAAGTAGTCAAAAGTGGAAATAATAAATAATTTGTTGGTATTTTGGCGCCATCTTTCGATTGTAGCTCGAAATTGCAATTTTCTTGTAATAACTGCTGTGACATCTTCACCTACTCGACAACATTTAGTAAGATTGCAAACACATTAAAATGTCACTAAAATTTAAATGGCACGGAGAAAGTGCTTTAGTTTTAAAAGATCTCAAGACAAAAGGATAAAAATTCTGCACTCTAAATGTAAAATTAAACCGAAATATATAAAATTACAGGTTATTATTTATTCAATAAAACTAAATGTATACCAACCACGTATATTTTATTTAACCAGATTAAATTTAACACTTTACTTACTCTTACACCTGTAATTTAATTAGTTAAAGTCAGCATATTGTGCATTTTTTAACACAACGGGCTAAAATCCACTGGTGTACCTTTAACATAAGCAAATATCTTTCTTTGATGTGTTCTGTCCAGGTTTCATATATTTCCCAATACCAACTAACAATCATAACATTTACAAACATTTGTTTCATATGTGATTATACAATATTAAGACACAATGGTCTACAGTTGTGGTCAGAAGTTTATATGTGCAGATCATCAGCATGAAGGTCATGCTTGTCATGCTAATTTGGAGAATTTAATGATTTCTTTAAACAGCATATATCTTAATTGGCTACAAAAACAAGAACTGGGTACACAAGTTTGAATTGCTTTCTCTTTTCTCTAAGAGAAAGAAGATTTTCTGTAATTCACACAGGGTCAAAAGTATACATACAGCTTTATATACTTTGACCACATATTTTTGGTGGTCATCAGCAAAATTCTAGCTGGATATTTGATGACTCTTCTTGGCACAATTTCATTTAAATTGTCTGGTTTTCTACCATGGACCAAGCTTTTAAGTGTGGTGGACAAATTTTCAACAGGGCTAAAAGTCGAGGTTTTCAAAAGGCCATTCCAGAAACCTTCCAGTTAGCCTGCTTTGTCCATTCAAAAAAATCAATTCTGATGTGTGTATGGATCATTGTTCTATTGAAGCACTCAACTGTATCCAAGTTTTAACTGCTTAGCTGTTAATGTGAGGTGATGTTGAAGACTTTGAAAGTAGTCTCCCTTCCTAATTATTCCATCCACTGTACAATGGATCAGTACCACTAGCAGCAAAACAACCCCAGCACATGATGCTACCAGCACCATGCTTGACAGTTGGTGCATAGTTCTTAGGTTTGAAAGCCTCACCTTTACGCCTCAGACATACTTCTGGTCATTGTGGCCAAATAGTTCAGTCTTTGTCTTGTCTGATCACAGAACCTCTTTCCAGAAGGCTTGTTCATTTCATTTGAGCTTTAAAGTATTGGTTTTGGAGCAGGGGCTTCTTTCTTGGTGAGCACTTTCTCAGCTCATAATGATGTAAAACTTGCTTTACAATGGACAGTGATGCCAATGTTCCAGCAGTTTCCAGTTCATGGCACATTTAAGCCTTTGTGGTTCCTGGATTGTTTCTCACTAACCTAACCGATTTCCTCTCATTTGAGGGTGGCAGTTTGGGTCTTCTTCGATACTTTGGCAAAGTGTTGATGGGTCCAAATAATTTGTACTTACAAACAATAGTTTGAACTGATGATCTTGCAATTTGCAGTTGTTTTGAAATGGCTCCAAGGGACCTTCATGACTTTTGTTAATATTCATTTTTCTGAGTTTTGTTCAAACAAACTCTTTTTGTGCTGGCAAAGAGAAACAAAGGGGCCGAATTAGGCCTCATTAGGCCTTGTCAAGTTAAAAGACACAGAAGAACCTTCACCACCACAAAAATTAAGTGAGTGTATGTACATATTTGAGCCAGTATGCATACTTTTAACCCCGTGTGAATTACACCCAATTCTTTTTTGTTTTTTAAAGTCATTAAAGATGTATGCTGTACAATCATTCCACTCTGGACAAAGAGCAGTTCAAAGAAATAATTTAAAGCCACCACATTACTCTAACATCCATGCCCATGGATGAGTTAATGTAATATTCTGACCACAACTACAAGTACTTGTACCAAAGAAAAATAATTTTTGAGACATAGAGAACGTGAAGTTTGTTTTTTTCCTTCATGGTGAAATATTTATTTAAATTCTCTCCACAACCCAGCACAGATTACAACTTCTCATTTTAAGTCTAAGCTCATCTCACAAGTATTTCACACTCAGGAAGCTAAGCAGTGCGTGTACTGTATAGTCACGGATTTCTCACAAATCATCTAGAACGAGTTATTACGGTTTAGCCTGCGGTGGCATGCTTGCTGTTGTAGTAATTTCGGTGCTCTGTGGTCATTTGAGAGAGTCTTTAGTTTATATTTAATGCCCTGAGCAGCACACACTACTGCAACTACACTGACTGCTTTGCATGTGATCATGTGAGTATGTGCCAATCTGCACGTGTTAATGTGTTGCTATTCTGGATACAGCAAGTTGGAGAACCATGCAGCGTTTTAAAATTCAAGAAGGTTGTGTCGCTCCCGCGTCGTCCTGCATCAGAGTGAGCATTTTTACAAACTAAAGAATCGTCTCCCTCTTCAGTTTAAAAAAAAGAAACAGCTTCTTGAAAGCTGAAAGCTGCACTGAAACAATGCAAAAAAAAAAAACAACCTCCGACCCCGCCTCCACCTGTTTTCATGGAAGACTGGATCTGTGATAAATCGTAATTCTTGGTATTTAGAAGCCCTCTAGTCACTGGCACATTGTCACAGAGCACCCCTGAATCCAATAAAAATAGCAGTTTGAGGCTTTAGTTTCAAATTTAATCTTCCACTAGACTTCTTTGACAGAAGCGTAATCGAACAGTGCAGCATGCGTCATCTGTTTAAGGTTGCCCAATTCATGTGTGAACACCGCATCATAAGATGCTTGAAATACCCATTTAGATGAAAACAAAAGAAAAAAATCATCCTGTTTTGCAGCATGTTTTGGGAAAATGTTTACATCAAGTCACTGACAGGATATTTGTTAGAGTCTTCGTCCCCCATAAAACAATTCATGCTTCTGGTGGTCTCTGAATTTGTAAAGGGTGAGGAAGGCGAGATCGCTGAAAGAGCAGAGCCAGATGAAGGGGAGGACTTCATGAAATAGACTTAAATGAGAGGGAGAGAAAGGTAGTTTCTTTTAGAAAGGACAACATAGAAAAAAAACAGACTGGACTAGTCGGCTAACATGCTCTCCTGTCTGCTTTACAGTATATAGCCCTCCTGGGTTTTTTAAAATATCATAGCCTCATGCTTTTTGTCTCATACACACACACTCAAACACACACTCTCATCTTTATTTCTAAACCCGCATCTTCCTCAGAGGGTGCAGCTACAAGGCATCTGGTTGGAGGGCCCATCTTGGAAGCAGAAGGTGACCTTTGCCAACTATTCTCAGGTCAATCCAACGTCAGCTGATGGATTAGTGTACATCCATAAAACCTGACGAAATCTTCAACCAAGCACAACACCTGCATTGAAGAACCTCATACACCGTCCGTTTCGAAGACTGGGAAAACCGTCCCTTCGTCTTCTCCCGTTTCCCCTCCTGGTTTCTCTCGTCCTTCCTGCTCCTCTCCTCCTCCTCTTCCTTCTCCCCCCTCTCGTCTCTCTTCTCTTTCTGAGGCACACGGGTAGTCTTGGGACTGGGGCTGCGGCTGTCCCAGTGACTCCGTTGACAAGCTGCGGCTAGACAGGATGCTACTTAGGCTGGACTGGCGGGCGCCCCTGTGGTGGGTCTCAATTTCAACGCGAACCTCAATATTCGTTCTTTCCCTGCGGTCACAATGAAGAAACACAGTGGAGTCATTATACAGTACCGTCCAAAAATATCGCCATTCCATAGTGCACTCCAGTCGGTCCAAAAATCATTATTCAGCAGAAGACATCAAGCTCACAGAGCAAGTCATAAAGAGCTGTCATTGGTGATGAGACATAGAGGCACACAGAGTCCTGACTAAACATTATCGAATCAGTCTAGAAATGCATTTACAAGAAATACAAGCAAGTACTTGCACAAGTACTGTTTTAAAAGCAGAGACTGATATACAGAATACTGTGGTTTGTGGTTTGCTTCAGTTGTGTGTGCATTTGTCTATTTGGTTACTGCTCCATTAACTTTAAGGTGTATCTCCTGAACTCTAATAGCAATATGTAACAGCTGCTTTATCCCACTGACTAACAAGTGGTGGTAATGCACCAACAAATGCAGCAATGGCCCACCCTCCGCTGCAGAAGAGGACTGCTTGCAAATAAACAGAGATGGGTGCTTTTCATTTTTCTGTTTTGTGCCTCCTCACCCCCTCTCTACTCCATCCACCTGCCGCTGACGTGAAAATGAATCTAAGCATGTTAAAGGAAGTCTGAATACCTAAAAGGGTCTCTCAAAGAGGGAGGAGTGAGGAGACAGGGTGTATCCTCTATGGAAGACAGACTATACGGACCACGGAGAAAGTCAGACTTAGCAAATATATGTTTGTAAGACTAACAAAAAATGGATATACACAGCTATTCTGGTGTCAAGATCCATGGAGTGTTGACCCAGAGTTCTGTCAGTTCTTTATTCTTTTTGGATTTTTAAAGTGGTTTATGTTAATAGTGTTTTTGTAATTTCTTGATCTTACAAGTTATTTTGATCCCTGGTTTTGGTTCCCTATTGTTTTGTTATTTTTGCCTCTACTTCTTAGTATCGATGATTTTAGGTTTATTAGTTCCCTTTAGCATTCCTGTCCTGTTCCCTCTGTCTCATCTTTGTGTTAGCCTTGTCTGTCTGCAAGCTAATCTCATAATCCGGTCCTGTTTT